GTCCTGGTCCACCTGTCCACAGGCGTTCTGCTCCAAATGTCCACAGGCGTTCTGCTCCAAATGTCCACAGGTATTCTGGTTCAAATGTCCACTGTTCTGGTCCAAATGTCCACTCTTCTGGTCCAAATGTCCACAGGTGTTCTGGTCCAAATGTCCACTGTTCTGGTCCAAATGTCCACAGGCGCTCTGGTCCACCTGTCCACAGGTGTTCTGGTCCAAATGTCTACGGTTGTTCTGGTCCACTCCTCATGTTCTGCTCCAGCTGTCTCAGGTTTGAAGGGTTCCTCCTCCTGATGTTTCAGCTCCTTCCACAGATGTTCAACAGGATTTAGATCAGGGCTCAGAAGAACTCTTCAGAACAGTCCAGTGTTTGGTTCTGAGTCATTCTTGGGTGTTTTTAGCTGTGTTTTGGATCTTTAGCTTGTTCGAGGACTCATGACCAAAGCTTTCTGACACCGGCCAGCGCATTTTACTCCAGAATGCCTTGATGGTCTTGAGATTTCAATGTACCCTGCACAGATCCAGGACGGCCCGTGTCAGATGCAGAACAGAACCGAGCCTACAGGGTTCTTTTAGGTCTGTGAACTCAGAGCTGATGGGACTTGTTGTCAAAAAGCTCCAGTTTTGTCTCATCTGTCCAAAGGACTTTGTCCCAGATCTTTGTGGCTTCTCAACATGCATTTGGACAAACTCCAGTTTGGGTCTTTAGTTTCCTCCTCATCTCTGTTTCATTTAGTCCTCTTTGGCTCAAACAGTGATTGATGGTGAATCTGACTTGACCTTGAAGTTCACCTCTAATCTCTGTGGAATGTGCTCTGGACTCTTTGGTTACTGTTTGTATCATCCATCTCTTCAATTTGTCTTCAGCTGTCCTCTTGTGGCCACATCCACGAGACGACTTCTGTTGTGACTTGGCGCTATATAAAAAATCTGAACTGAATTGTCTCCAGTCCTGTGGACCTTAACTTTCTTAATCTGTGCTGCTGGAGTCAGAGGAACATCATCTGCTTGGAGATGCTCTGATAGTTTTTACCTTCATCACGCTGTCAATAACTGTCTTTCAAAGCTCCTGAGACACTCTGTCCTGTTATGGATATTTATGAAAAAAAAATGTTACTTTTAATTTAATAACTAACAACGTTTAGTTTAAATAAATTTATGGATTCACCCAATAAAACAATTTATTCTAAAAGAATGTCGAGCTAACGTGATGTTCAGTGGGAAACGTGCTCCTGTCTGTTGACACTTTGATCAATTATGAAAATATAACATCGTCGCAGATTTTCACTCTTTTACAAGCATGATGTGTTCAGCTGTATTAACTTTATTACCACCAACTCTAAAGCATTTTTTTAATTAATCCTAATTTATTTCTTGTTGAAGATCAAACCCACAGATGCAAATGTAAAAACAAACAAAAAAAAAAAAAACATTTTTTTATTTGAGATAGAGTTTAAGCTTAATATAATCATGTCACCCTTTTTCATGCAATAAGGCCATCCAAACTCTAAACATCAATTTAAAAAAATCTTGTTAATTGAGGCTATCTTGCATTTCCTGCCTTTTTACTTTACTTGTTATTTTATTTATTTTGTCTTGGGATTTGATGAGCTTACTTTGATACTCTCTTAATTTAGGATTTTGTAGTTTAGCTAAATTTTGCTTCAAAGTGATGCAACAGTAACAGACATGATGTAACAATAAACATGTCCAAAGTGTCTTTCAAAGAAAAAAATAAAATCATCTCGAAGGACAGATTCTAATGAAGGTCTCATACTGAAAATATCAAGAGATGTTAAAGACTGACCTTCAAGTATTACATCTCTAGTAAGACCAAAGAAGTGATCTCTAAAGTTTTCTGGACTGTCCCCTGCTACGAGTTTCATTCCTAAATGAATAAAAAATATTCCTCTGTGCTGTTTCTGCAAACAAAATATTTAAGAGTTGCATCTTTAAAATGTAAGTTTCTCAGTGGAAAAATGGGAAGTCTTTGAACATCACATCTGCTGCAGTTCATAATATCAGAACAGATTTGAAGAATATGCAGAAATCTCTGAGGTCAAAAGAACAAGGTTGAAAGTCAAGATTGGATGGTTGTGATCTTCAGGCCGGGCAGCACGGTGGCGCAACTGGTAGAGCTGCTGCCTCTCAGCGAGCAGGTCCTTGGTTCAAACCCCGGTCTCTGGGTGGAGTTTGCATGTTCTCTCCGTGCATGCGTGGGTTTTCTCCGGGTGCTCCGGTTTCCTCCCACAGACCAAAAAACATGCATGTTAGGCTGATTGGTAACTCTAAATTGTCCCTAGGTGTGAGTGAGAGAGTGAATGGTTGTTTGTCGCTATGTGGCCCTGTGATGGACTTGCAACCCGTCCAGGGTGTACCCCCCTCGCACAGTGATTGCTGGACATGGGCACCAGCGACCCCCGTGACCCAAAATGGAATAAGCGGGTAAAGATAATGGATGGATGGATGATCTTCAGGCCCTCACGAGCAGCTGCAATAAAAACAGGTTGACTGTAAGAGACATCATTAAACAAGAGTCCAGGAAGAACCCAGGATTGTTGCACAGCTATAACCCTCCATTAGAGCAGAAAGGGACAACATGCCCTCCCTCCAACAACTGGTCTCCTCAGGACCACCAACACCTCCAACAACTGGTCTCCTCAGGTCCTCCAAGACCTCCAACAACTAGTCTCCTCAGGTCCTCCAACAACTGATCTCCTCAGGTCCTCCAAGACCTCCAACAACTAGTCTC